TGGATGTCTTAAAATTTGTAGAACTTTACACATACATACAACCAATTTGCCTATGTTAATTGAAAAAATAAAATAAAAACAAATTATTTACCTAGTTGGGTTAGCTACATACATAAGTTCAATATCTGCATTACTGTAAGACAAAAGAAGCATTATTAGGGATGGAGTTGTTCTCTGTGTAATGGCAAATAGTTCCTTCACTAAGAAGACAGAATTAGAAAGGTCTTAAATCAATACCTAAGCTTCCATCTTAAGCAACAAGCAAATAAGAGCAAAATAAATTAAAAGGAAGCAAACAAGGAAATAATAAAGAACATAAGTCAATGAATAGAAAATGGAAAAACAATAGAGAAAAGTCAAGGAACTCAAAAGCTCATTCTATGTGAAGATCAACAAAAATGATATGAACTTCTAACAAGACTGACAGAAAGAGAAGAGACACAGAAGACCAAGACCAGGAATGAAAGAGGGAATTTCACTACAGACCCCCCAGGTATTACCAGGGATGATAAAGGAACACTGAAAAACTCAGAACATAACTTTAATAATCTAGACGAAATGGATCAATTTTTTGATAATCTCAAGCTAATTAAACTTACACTGAATTAGATAACCTACATAGCGTTACAACCATTACAGGGATTGAATTCTATGTTAAAAATCTCTGAAAATAAAATTCCCTAGCCCAAAGAGTTTCAATGACAAATTCTACCAAACATTCAGAAGACAAAATAATACCAATTCTATAGCACGATTCCATTTATATAATACTCTTTGAAACATAAAACTATACTAGAGGGATGAAGAAAAGATCAGTGGTTATCAGAGATTAGGGGGAGGGAGAAGGTATGATTCCAAAGGATAGTACAAGGCAGTATTTTGGAGTGATAGATTTGTCGTGCCCTGATTGTGATGGGAGTTAGATGAATCTGTGGATGTCTTAAAATTTGTAGAACTTTACACATACATACAACCAATTTGCCTATGTTAATTGAAAAAATAAAATAAAAACAAATTATTTACCTAGTTGGGTTAGCTACATACATAAGTTCAATATCTGCATTACTGTAAGACAAAAGAAGCATTATTAGGGATGGAGTTGTTCTCTGTGTAATGGCAAATAGTTCCTTCACTAAGAAGACAGAATTGTTCTATGCACCTTTGAAAAACACACACACACACACACACACACACACACACACACAACCAACGAAGAGTAACTTGCCTGGTGCAGTGACTCACACTTGTAGTATCGGTACTTTGGGAGGCTGAGGTGGGAGGATCACTTGAGACCAGGATTTTTGAGACCAGTCTGGGCAAAAAAGCGAGACTGTATCTCTACAAAAGTAAAAAATAAAATAAAATAAAATTAACTAGGCATAGTGTCATGTCGTGTGCCTCTAGTCCCAGCTACTCTGGAGGCTGAGGTGGGAAGATCGCTTGAGCCTGGAAGGTCAAGACTGCGGTTGTAGTGAGCTGTGATGGCACCACTATGCTCCAGGCTGGGCATCAGAGTAAGACTCTGTCTCACATAAAAAAATAAATGAATAATAATTTTAAAAAACTTGTCTGGGTGTGGTGGCTCACACCTGTAGTCCCAGCACTTTGGAAGGCCGAGGCAGGAGGATTGCTGGAACCCAAGACTTTGAGAACAGCCTGGGCAACATAGCAGGACCCCATCTCTATTAAAAAAAAAAAACCAAAACTTAAAAATCCAGCAAATACATAAAGCACAAAACTGACAGAAGAGGTGGAGAAATCAATAAATCCACCATCAAAGTGGAAGAATTTGATATAATTTTTTGTTATTGTTAGGGTAAACAATCCAAAGATTAGTACACTATAGAAAATTTGGCCAACATAGTAACAAGTTTGATTTATCGGATACATAGTATATAGAGCCCTAGACCAAGCAACTATAGCAGTGTGTCTCCAGTGTTTTTACTTCATGACCCACATAGCAAATGATATGTGTATGTAACACACTGAGCTAATTGTCAGAGTTCAGTTTCTGTCCAAAACCCTAAGATCTGGAGTGATTAACCTTTCAGCATACTTACAACTCACTTGTTTGTAAGCACACTGATTGAGAAGCCTGAAAGACTTCCCTCCTTAAACATATATGGAATTTTTCTAAAAACTTATGTATTGGGCTGGGCGCAGTGGCTCATGCCTGTAATCCCAGCACTTTGGGAGGCCGAGGCGGGCGGATCACGAGGTCAGGAGATCGAGACCATCCTGGCTAACACGGTGAAACCCCGTCTCTACTAAAAATGCAAAAAATTAGCCAGGCGTGGTGGCGGGCGCCTGTAGTCCCAGCTACTCTGGAGGCTGAGGTAGGAGAATCGCTTGAACCCGGGAGGCAGAGGTTGCAGTGAGTGATTGGGCCACTGCACTCCAGCCTGGAAACAGAGCGACCCTCTGTCTCAAAAAAAAGGAAAACAAAAAACAAAACAAAAAAAACTGGTAAAAGGGCCCAGTGGCTCACACCTGTCATTCCAGCTCTTTGGGAGATTGAGGAGAGAGGATCAGTTGAGGCCAGGAGTTCAAGACCAGTCTGGGCAATATAATGAGACCCCATCTCTACAAAATTTTAACAACAACAACAAAAAATCTGATAAGAGGCAGCATGAACAGTACTTTGTGGGAGTTTGATAGCTTGAAATACCCATAATTGAAAAGAAAATTTATCAGCTAAGCATCTCACTAAAGAGATTAGAATAGGAGAATAAACCTAAGCGTAGTTTTTTTCCCCAAACATTATTATATCTGGATATTGAATGCATTCTTATTGCTATTTCAAAGATACTTACTCTAAGGAAAGCAATTGAATTAGGTAGTTGAACTCTATAGTAGATTTTCTTTAATGAGTCCTTTTGTTCTCAACCTACTTAAATAATTCTCATTTGAATTTATGATAATTTCAGATCTACCCAAAGGGTGACTTAGGAATTTAACTTCTAAATCTACTAAATGAAAGGTTTATAATATTCATGTCATATTTTACAGTCATTAGCGTTTAACAATTTATAGCATAGGATTTGGGTGGTTTTTTTTTCATTTTAAACAAGAAGTTTATTTAAACAAGACACTTGACTAAGGGAAAACTATCTTGGAGTTATTATTACTAGAGTAATTTATTTCTACTTAAAGACAGATTGCCCCACACGTAACAGCTACATAAAAATGGTTGTAAAATTGTCCTTGGTTTTACAATGATTAATGAAAAACGTTAAAATTCTCCAATTGAACAAGGTATGCAAAGATTTTTATATTGTTTTTTGCTAAAACTGTGATAGCAAAATAACATCCTGGAATATAAAGATAAGAGCTGAATGAGCAGGCCACTAGGGGACAAAGGGAGTCTTTTCACAGGACCAATGCTTCTTTTCCCCACCCCATCTCCATTCGAAGTCAATCTAAACATACTATTATCTATTTAGTTTAAAAAAAAAAAAAGCAAAGCAATGTATGCTTGTGGACGTACACCAGATACTTTATGTGCAATAAAAGGAGGAGGAAGGGGGAAATGAAAGAATAGAGAAAACTCTATGTAGTCAGGATGTGGTGGAACCAAACTGCAACTTTCTTTTTTTTTCTTTTTTTTTTTTTTTTTTTTTAAGAGGGAGTTTTGCTCTTGTCACCCAGGCTGGAGTGTAGTAGTGTGATCTTGGCTCACTGCAACCTCCACCTGTCAGGTTTAAGCCATTCTCCTGCCTCAGCCTCCCGAGTAGCTGGGATTACAGGTGCATGCCACCATGCCTGGCTAATTTTTGTATTTTTAGTAGAGATGGGGTTTCACCACGTTGACCAGGCTGGTCTCAAACGCCTGACCCCAAGTGATCCACCCACCTCAACTTCCCAAAATGCTGGGATTACAGGCGTGAGCCACCACGCCTGGCCAAATTACAGCTTTCTAATTGAGACTGTATTCTTGGTCTGGAAGAGCACAGTTCTGCAGTAAAGTAGCCCGTCCCCCTTTTAGTAGACATCTCCATGTCTGCTGCTGGAACACATCAGTTTTATCTTAAGCCTCACTTCCAAATGTACAGATGTGTCTGGTTCGTTGATTGGCTACCTGTCAAATTGAAACCTGATCTGCCTCATTGACAAACCCTGTCCCTCACAATAGGCTTTCCTTGGTTTACTAAGTGGTGCATGGCTCTTCATCTCAAACTGCACCACAGTGCCATCCTGCTCCACCACCTTCAAATGAACATTATCCTTGTTCTCAGTCTTGACTCTTTCCTTGGGCTTTTTGTGGACCCTGGTGAGTGTGGCAGTCTCCTCAGCTGCTGCTTCACAAAAGAGGTACCAGGTCTGCCCCAAATGAGTGAATCCCTGAATAGCACCAGGAGTGCCAGAAGAGGCAGCAACTGAGATGTGTTTTTTCTAAGCTGAAAGCCTTTTTGTTTGTTTGTTTGCAACAAATCTTTTTTTGCGACACACCTTTAACACTAAAGTCCAATATTTATATAATTGGTCAAGTAAGTGGAGCTGTTCTAGCTATAAATACAGCAACTGTGCTTGCTTGTACTGTTATTAACATTATTCCTTTCTGTGGTCTGAGGTACCTCCCATGAAACTTGGTGTCTAGGGCACTAGGATTGAGAACCATCAATATAACATATCTGTTATGCTATAATAGTTTATTGTTCATATTTTTTATATTTACATACTCGGGTATAATGAACTTTATTCGTAGCTTCTGAAGGAGTTGGCGCATTTGAGATATTTTTTACTTGGCTAATTGTTATGCTAAATCTTTTGATTTCTAAAGATACATGCCTTTGCTAAGCTTTCTTCATATGTTATTATTTTTATTTAGATTGGGTCATTGCTATTCCATGGATGACTCAGAGGATACATCCTGGGACTTTGGTCCACAAGCATTTCAGCTTTTGTCTGCTGTGGATATCTTAGGGGAAAAATTTGGAATTGGGCTTCCAATTTTATTTCTCCGAGGATCTGTAAGTATACCTGTGAATTCCCTTCACAGATCTTCTTTTACTTCTATTACACTTTTCTTCAGAGGTTTGCAGTATTATGATTGTAGCTTTGACTTCAGATGGGTTACTAGGAACTCATAGAATCTTACTAAGTTCCCGTTAAACACTACATTCGTTACTTTGGATAAAACCCGTGTGTGTGGCATCTTCTGCTGTTTTCATGTTCCAAGCCTATGTTCAGCTCTGCAGCTCAGTCTAGAAGCATTGTGTTAGTTTATCACATTGCATTTGTGTGAATCCCTAGACTAGTCTTGCTTAGGATAATTAGGAAAAGTTAAGTTTCATTGTGTCAAGGGACAGGTAAAACAAAATTGTCCTTTTGTCCAGAAAACTATTAAATTCTTCAAGGAAAACTTTAGTTACAGGGATTATTTTGTAAATGTCTAATTTCAATAACAATATTTGGGACATATTTATTTTTCCTTCTGTTTCCTATCAGAAGTATTTAAAGTTATAAGAAAATAGTAGTTTTTGCCTTTACTAATGAATAAATAATCAGTTAAATTCAGCTACTTTTTTTTGGAGTGATCGATGTTCCAGTATTCTCCTAAGCAACCACAGGTACAAATGTGAAAAAGATAGGACCCTTGCAGTCCAAGAACTTGTTCTGTAGTCCTTTTCTTTATATGATTTTTTCCCCTGATTTAGAAGTATATAAAGCAAAGCTAAGTATTACGCACTGATATTGGCTGAATAAATCAAGAGCGAGAGATAGGATACTTTGCAAATATGTATACTTATTAAAATATACTTAAGAGATTAAAATTCTCATTTCTAATGTAGAATAGGTAAGCATTTATTTGTGAAATACTCGAATGCTTCGTGTAAATACTTTCTGAGTTTGTATTTTTAAAAAGGAACATACTTATTAAATTAGTTGTGAAATATTTTTAATGAAATATATTGAAAACTTCTGTTGATTTTTCATGTACTGATGTTTTTAGATTCTAAATGGAGTTTAACATTTTGTTTGTAAATCACAAGTTGGATTAGAAATTTAATAGTAGAAGTGTTGCCTAAGGAACTATTTTAGGTGCTGTGAGTGAAACTGTTATAATAAGAATTTTAGTTGTAAGGGACAGCTTAAATATAATTGAGATCTATGAAAGTGTATTCTGTCTCTATCACCTTTAAAACCTTTGTATCGCAGTTGAATGTATAATTTATAAAAATTATTCTTGTTTTAATTTGCTATAATCCAGCCATATCCAGTATCAACAAATAAGTCTGAGTAGGCTCCTTGACAAACTTGAACTGGCCACAAGAGAGATCAGATTTCACCTATTAAAAAACCAAATCAGACCACTTACACTGACAGTCTCTTCTGGGAGTCCTCAAATTAAGAAGTTTATCCTTTGTGAAATATTATAGTACCCTTGCTAGACAAAAGTAAAACTTTTCTAAAAGTACCACTTAATGAAAATCTGCAGACACTAAAGGCAATGAAAATAAGGCAATTTTTTTTTGTCCCCATTTCAGTGATCTTGGTATCCTGGGATATTGTTTTTAAAATTATCATTATAATTCCTTTGAGAATTTAGTAAAATGTTCCCTTTAACCAACTTAGGAAAAATTAATATCTTTGTATGTGATTTTGATCTGTAAAATAAACATTTTAAACTGGGAATAATTGGAGTTTAAAGAGATTAAATATATAACATATAGTAGCAGCATATAATTATCTCTTTTTTTTTTTAATTTTTAAATTTTTTTTTTGAGATGGAGTCTTGCTCTGTCGCCCAGGCTGGAGTGCAGTGGCGCCCAGGCTGGAGTGCAGTGGCGCCCAGGCTGGAGTGCAGTGGCGAGATCTTGACTCACTGCATGCTCCACCTCCCGGGTTCACGCCATTCTCCTGCCTCAGTCTCCCAAGTAGCTGGGACTACAGGCACCCACCACCACGCCCAGCTAATTTTTTGTATTTTTAGTAGAGACGGGGTTTCACTGTGTTAGCCAGAATGGTCTCAATCTCCTGACTTTGTGATCTGCACACCTCAGCCTCCCAAAGTGCTGGGATTACAGGCATGAGCCACTGTGTCCGGTCGTATAATTCTCTCTTACACAAGATTTTTTCTAAATAGTATAAACAGTTATGTAGCCTATCTAGGAGTTTGTGAGTAGAGTTTAAAATTTTGTTTTTAAGCTGCAAGTTTGATTAGAAATTAAACAGTAAAGGTATTACTTAAGGAACTTTGTTTTAGCTGTCTAAACAACTTACTTATATAAAAATCTTTAAACATTCTGTATAAATATATGATAAGATATACAATGACCTTAATTTTATAGATTAGAAAATAAAACCACACTCATTAATTTGCATAACTGAGGGATTAAGTGAAACTTCTTTTCTGAGCACATTAGCAGAATGCCAAATCTTGTTGTGGCACTAGAATTAGACGGTAGTTTTGATGATACATGATTTGACTATAGACATTTGTTGAAACTATTGGTAGTTTTAATCACTCTTGTAATTTTCAAACTATCTAACGGGAGAGGATTATCCATCCTGTTTTCTAGACAAGCTATTTCACCTGAATGAAATATATTCCTAGAGATAATTATCACTCTCTTTTGGTTTTATTTTGCACATAGAATTATAGTTCACAGTGACTTTCTGAAGCCCTGAAGTTGTAGCTGTGAGCTTCTTTGGCCTGTAGTGACTGGGAAAAAGCACCCCCGCCCTGCCCTCCCTGTCCCCCCAAAAAGTTAAAGTGTTTTAAACAATAGCTATGGACTTTTTGTAGTTTAAGAACTTAGGAGTTGCCCAGGGTGGAATGCAGTGGTGTGATCATAGCTTGCTGCAGCCTTGAACTCCTGGGTTCAAGCAGTCCTCCCACCTCAGCCTCCAGAGTAGTTGAGACCACAGGTGCCACCACACCCAGCTGTTTTTTTTATTTTTTAATTTTTTTGTAGGTATGGGGTCTCCCCCTGTTGCCCTGCCTGTTTCAAACTCCTGGGCTCAAGTGATCCCCCTACCCTTGGCCTCCCAAAGCACTGAGAGTCACTGTGCCAGGCTGAGTTTAAAATTTCTTGAGTTGGAGTTTATGGCTATTTTTTCCATTAGTTATTAAACATGTATTTTTGTAAAAGGCACTGTATTGCATTTTGTGGGGGGATTCAAAGCTAAATTAGATGAGACGCCTCGTCTAGTATGGAAGGTGTTACTTAAGAAGAAATAAGTGTAATGTAGCAGAGAACCAGATAAGGGACATGTGAATAGATATAAATGTTACTGAAGTTCTGAAGAGAGAGGGTGTTTAGAGAAATGAGAGGAGTACTTGTGAAGGTATCACTAGAACTTCCTATTTTTGTGGAATATATGGTAGATTTTGGTGTGATACTGTCTATTTGGACATTCATTCAGAGAAGAAATGAGGGAAGAAGGGTAGAGAAGAATGTGGCATTCACAGTACAGAAAGCAATTGTGACTTTTAAAGAGGTTAATACAGAGAAGTGACAAGTCTTCTTTTCCTCTCCTCTCTCTTTCTTTCCTCCCCTCCCCTCCCCTCCCCTCCCCTCCCCTCTCCCTTTTTTCTTCTTTTTTTTCTGTCAGATACTGGTGTAAAGACTTCGCTTTTACCAGAAACTGATATATTGGGTCAGGTACCCTGGCCAGTCAGTTCTCTTTATTCTAACACTCACCGATCAATTAGATTTCCACATTCCATGATATGTCAGTTTTGGTGACCCTTATTTTTCCACCTGGTTTATAAAGGGAAAGAATGAGATATGTCACCCAGGCTCTGGAGTACAGTGGTGTGATCATAAGTCACAGCAGCCTCAAAGTTTCCAGTTCAAGCGATCCTACCTCCTTGGCCTCCCGAGTACGTGGGACTACAGGTGCGTGCCACCATGCCCAGCTAACTTTTTTGTAGAGACAGGGTCTCCCTATGTTTCCCAGGCTGGTCTTGAAACCCTGGCCTCAAGTGATCTGCCCACCTTGGCTTCCCAAGGTATTAGGATTACAGGCGTTAGTCACTGTGCCTGGCCTGAAAATTTCTCTTTTTGAGATGGCATCCCACAGAAGTATACCTGCTTAGAGCTAACACTGGCAAAAAGACTATTTAACCCTATTGCCTGATTTTACTGTAGTTGAGATTGGGTTAAAGTAAAAGCTGAATGACCTGCCCTAGGTCATACTGTTACTTTGTGCCAGAGTCAGGATGAGCAAATGACTTTCCTGCCTGCTAGTCTAGTGTCTTTTCTATTTGTTGTGCTGTAACATGCAGTTTTAAATTTGTATTGTTATGCCCAGTGGGCATGGTGGCTCACACCTGTAATTTCAGCACTTTGGGAAGCCGAGGTGGGAGGATTGCTCGAGACCAGGAGTTCAAGATGAGCCTGGGCAACATAGCTAGACTCTGTCTCTACAAAAAAAATTTAAAAAGCCAATTGGTGATGTGTGCATGTAGTCCTCCTTGTGGGAGGTTGAGGTGGGAGGATTGATTGAATCTAGGAATTCAGGACTGCAGTGAGCCATGATTACACCACTGCACTCCAACCTGGGTGACAGAGCAATACCCTATCTTAAATGAATGAATGAATGAATGCCCAAATCCCTAAGCTGTGTTCTGTATAGCAGCTTTGTCATTGTAGGCAGTTTTTACTCTGTCAGTGGACAACCTACAAAATTAAGTTAACTACAACACTTAAGCAATTAACAGAGGAGGCTTTGTTCAGAGTGAGAAATCATTAAGCATTTGTTGTTGAAAATTCTTACTGTATTATGTTTTAATTGTTATTATTTTTTTAAATGTTACTTGTTTTAGTTTGGATTCCTAGTTGAAAATGGAATATGATTCCTTTAAAACAAAGATACTGTGTTTTAAAGCAAAGGTATATCATCCTTTTCATGGTGATTGCCATGGAAACAAGACAATGTACATTTACTCACATAGTACACAGTTTTCATAGTTATTGATCATGAGGGAAGGGACAGTTAATCCCTGCTGATCAGATAAAACCTCATTGTTTCATCCTAATATATGGGTTTTTAATGCTTAGGAAAGGAAAAGCCAGAAGAGTAATTTTTAGTGTTTAGAGAGCTAGTGATTCTAGTTAGGGAACTTAATACCTTTGGTGTTATTAGTTTGCAAGGAATAGAATCTCCTACTACAGAGGTAACCCCTAGCAGATGTAGAGTACCATTACCAAGTGTTCCAGGGAAGGAAACCCGACTAGATACCAAGTCATGCTTTTTACTCTTAGATTAAGAAATTCAGGTTGAGTTAAAGGATCAGCTGTTAACTAATTAAAAGCAGATTAATATTACTGAGCCAGGCTTTGTCCTGGTTATGGACTTAATCTTCACAGTATCCTCAAGAGATAAAAATGAATATATATGCATATTAGATGAGAAAATAGAAGATAAGTAACTTGCCAGAGCTATGGCTTGAATGCAGGTGATGTAGCTCAAGAGCCCCCACATGTATGTATATTGGGTGTGGGGGGTGGTACGTGTGGGTGCTTGTGCATGCATGTGGTATAATAAGAAAAAATTAGCTGTTATGCCTGTAATCCCAGCACTTTGGGAGACCAGGGCATGAGGATCTCTCAAGCCCAGGAGTTCAAGACCAGTCTAGGCCCCATAGCGAGACCCCATCTCTACAAAAAAAATTTAAAAAATATTAGCGGGCATTGTGGAATACATCTGTAGTCTCAGCTACTTGGGATGCTGAGGTGGGAGGATCCTTGAGTCCAGGAGGCTACGGTGAGCTATGATGACACATCTGCACTCCAGCTTGGGTGACAAAGAGAGACCCTGTCTCAAAAAAAATTAGAACTAGTCATCTGGAGGCCTATGTTCTAGTCCTAGCTTTAGTATAGGTACACCGTGAGACATTAGACTGCCATTTAACATCTTTGAACCTCTGATAATTTGTTAACAATATGGGTAAAAATGACTAAGATAGATCAAAGAGCTCCAGCATTCCCTCCAGCTCTGAAATTCTATGATGTTTTATCTTATTTTACTTATAAAAATAAATTATATTATGTGTATTTAAAGTGTACAATATAATGTTACAGGTTACCTATATATAGTAAAATGATTACTATAATGAAACTAACATATCCATCATCTTATATTGTTAACCATTTTTTTGTTTTTGTGGCAAAAGCAGCTGAGATCTACTCATTTAGCAGGAATCCCAAATACAGTACATTTGTATTAACTGTAATTCTCATGTCATACATTCGATCTCTAGACTAGTTTATGCTACGTATGGTTGACTTTTAAACATTCTACTCAAATCAACCCTAAGTCAGGGTTAGCAAGGCAGGACTTGTTAACAAGGAAGAAGGTGCCAGATTGTACCTGGGTGTTTATATTTCTCTAAATCTTGTTCTGATCATATTTTAATAAATAGAATCATCAGGACACTAAAATTCATTCCTTAGCTATTAAAAAAGTCTATTCTATTTTTATTGTTAAGATTTAGGAGAGCATGGTATAGATTCTCTTAACTATGCCTATCAGAAGCCTATGTTTTAAATCCAATATATAGGCACTGCTCTATTTGTCTCTGTTGAGAGCTTACCCTGCTTTACCTAATTTCATCCTAGCCTCCTTTTTGTGAAAGATCACCCTTATTTAGCCTATTTTCTGGCAAATCTACACCTTAGAAATAGTAGTAAGTGACATAAGCATATTAATATTTATGATGTGATTTATTTTTGTTTTCATTTATATACTTGGGAAGATTCTCAGATATTAAAGCAATGTATGTTTACATTTAAGTATGTCATTCTTGTTCTGTTTTAGAAGGCTTGTAGTCGCGTTTTTAACGTTCCAAAAGATAAACCTGTAATCATAATGATTTCATCAATTCAGTAAAACCAGTATGCTTGTAATAGCCCTATAGTTGCCTTAGTTAAGTTTGCTGCAACTCATTTTATGTATTCTTTTAATTTTGATCCCTGGATTTTTAATTGACTATTAAACCTTCGTTAGGGTATATATGAAATGTAAAAATGTTGAGTTATAGTCTGCCTTTTTCTAAAATTTTAGATTGCATTTTTATATAGAAATTTAAGTTACTCATAATCATTCTAGTGAATTTAAGCAGAAAGGTATTTATTACTCGGTATTAAATGGCTTATAATATTGTTGACAAGGTTCCACTGTAAAATAGTTCACCAAGGGAACTGTGGCCTCTTCTGTGATCAAGAAGCCATCTGTCAACTTGGGAAGCTTCCACTACAGCGCGTAACCCCAAACTGCATTGAGTAGGAATCTGTAATAATCATGAAGGTTCTACCTTTGCATGCTCTGTAAACCAGTGTGAACCTGCTATAATTTGTAACCACAAAATGGTGCCTGTTGATACTTACGAAGCATGTCATTGTGTGCTGGGTTCTTTGCTAGTACTTTCTTGTAAAAATTAAATACATCCACAATCATGCATGCCAGCAGAAACAGCAGAGGAATAGCCTTGGCCTCACTTCCTGCTTATACCTGTCATGCAAATATACAGAACCCAGGACCTTAGCTGAAAGGGAGTTTGGGAACTAGTATTTGTACTGTCCCAGATTCTGCAGTGGAAGAATTCATGGTGGATGGAAGGTAGAATGACCCTTGAATTGCAGTCAGCCACATTCACCACAAATAACATTAAATAAGAGTAATTTTCCATAAAGCTCTATGTTTGTATTTGTTTTTTGTTTGTTTTTGTTTTTTTGTTTGTTTGTTTTTGCTTTTTTGTTTGTTTTTTGTTTGTTTGTTTGTTTGTTTTGTTTGTTTTTGTTTTTGCTCAGTCTGGAGTGCAGTGGTGTCATCATAGCTCACTGCAGTCTTGATCTCCTGAGCTCAAACGATTCTCCTGCCTCAGCTCCTCCTTCAGTCTCCTGAGTAGCTGGGACAACAGGTACACACCACCACACTTTGCTAATTTTTTATTTTTTATTTTTTGTAGAGATAGGGGACTCACTGTGTTGCCCAGGATGGTCTTGAACTCCTGAGCTTAAGTGATCCTCCCAAAGTGTTGGGATTACAGGCATGAACCACTGTGCCTGGCCCATAAACTTGTATATATATTTAAAAGTAGTATTTAAATGTAGGATGAATGAAAGAGGCAGTAAGAGGACAAAGTGAATGAAAAAGTACTTTTATAGGGAGTGAAAGCTGGAGAGGTCTCTCTGTTAGAGGAAAACAGAATTGCATGTGACAGACTAGCTTTCTTAACATTTCTAGAACTTGATGGCTGTGAAGAGCCACCCATAGGAATTCTCCCTTCACTTAGGAAAACATACATCAAAACCATCAGCTATTTAGCATGCACCTTCTTTTCCTGGTCTATCTCAGTGAAGCAGCTAAATTATAAATGATTAAGTAAACGTTACAGTGTATCATATGCGAAAGCACAGTAAAAACAAAAATGCATTGGAAGCTGTGAGTTGTTGCACTGCACTCATGGATGAATAGCTATTGGTTTGCATTGCTTTTTTTTGTTTGTTTGTTTGGTTTTTGAGATGGAGTCTCGCTCTGTCGCCCAGGCTGGAGTGCAGTGGCGTGATCTCGGCTTACTGCAAGCTCCACCTCCCAGATTCACGCCGTCCTCCTGCGTCAGCCTCCTGAGCAGCTGGGACTACAGGCGCCCGCCACTACACCCAGCTAATTTTTTGTATTTTTAGTAGAGACGGGGTTTCACCATGTTAGCCAGGATGGTCTCGATCTCCTGACCTTGTGATCCGCCCACTTTGGCCTCCCAAAGTGCTGGAATTAGAGGCATGACACATTGCGTTTTATATAATTCTCATGGTTCTAGTCTCGAACTGTAGGATTTTGATCACTGTTTCAAACAATAACGTGAGTTTGCTAAGAGGTCTAAATAACAAAAGCTAAGTGTTCCAAACACATATCCAAACCTATACACTGGGAAATGCATCTGAATTATATGTGACATTTCCTGCCATTATTTAAGACACAAAAGGAACATTATTTTGATAATGTATTTATTTGTGAGTTGAGTGTTCAGAATGAGCACGATGGGTATAACATTTTTGTATGTTTTTAAAGTTGAAATTTAGTGTAAATCCAAAGAATCAATAGACAAGTCTGCGTTTTACTTAACCTGTATGTTTAAATTAGCATTTTTAGATACTGATTTTATTTTAATTTCAGAATTCTCAGCGTCTTGCAGATCAATATCGCAAGCACAGTTTGTTTGGCACTGGCAAGGATCAAACAGAGAGTTGGTGGAAGGCTTTTTCCCGTCAGCTCATCATTGAGGGATTCTTGATAGAAGTTTCTGGGTCTAACAAATTTATAAAGATTTGCACCCTTACGAAAAAGGTAAACAGTATAGGAGTCTGCCTGTTTGACGTAATTTTGTTTCCCACTCTGTATTAAAAGAATCTTTTTGCTTTTAATAGGGTAGAAATTGGCTTCGTAAAGCTAATACAGAATCCCAGAGCCTCATCCTTCAAGCTAATGAAGAATTGTGTCCAAAGAAGTTTCTTCTGCCTAGGTTCATTTTTCAGTTTTTTTCTTATAACTTCTGTGTTTTTTGTTGCTATTTATGTGATTCAAATTACACCAGTTTATAGGCCTCTCACAAGTAAAATGAATTACCTGTTTGTTTTTGTATGCATGTTTTAGTCAGTTTGGGGGAAGGGATCAGTGAGGAAAGGATAAGTCATAGAGCACTTTTCTTTTTTAAGAGACAGGGTCTCTCTGTGTCTCTCAAGCTGGAGTACAGTGGTGCGATCATAGCTCACTGCAGCCTCGATCTCTTGGGCCCAGGTAATCCTCAGCCACCTGAGTAGCTGGGACTATAGACATGCACTACTGTGCCCAGCTAATATATTTTAATTTTTTGTATATAGACAGGGTCTTTCCTAGGCTGGTCTTGAACTCTTGAGCTCAAGTGATCTTCCTACCTCAGCCTCCCAAACTTACTGGGATTGCAGTCATGATCCACCGCTCCCAACCAGAACACTTTCTTGGTTGATGGGAAGTAGCTGACCATAGTATTTAGAAAGCTTCTTTCTCATTGATTAAAGAAGCAGTATTGAAATCAATACTGAGGAATCCATATATCGTATTTACTTCTCACGTGTAGAAGTGGAAAGGGAGGGAATACATTTGTTGCTTACTTTTTTATACCTTTACAGGCATTGATCACTTGTGAGTTTTCTCTTTCAAACTTTTTAAAGCTTCTAGAGCTTTTTTCTGGAAAAAAGTCAGTTTTAAAAATTGCCGGTTCTAAAAGGGTAATAACTTATTCATCTTTCTGAGAGTGGAGTATGATGATTCATGAATTAGATACTTGCATCTTAACATTTGAGATAATTTAATTTTATTATTTTTCAGCTCGAGAACTGTATCTTCAGGCACCAAAGAGCATTCTTATAATCAAGTACCAGTTGAATTAACTGCAGAGAAGAAGGTTTGTTTTAAAGAAATTGTTCCTATATATTTCATTCTTTATTGATTCAACTTCTGTTTAAAATTTTATATTTTAATTCCCTTCCAATTAAAGAGAAAATTGCATATATAACAAAACATAAAATTTGGCAAGAGAAGTGATGTGAACAGACTAGAATATATGGTATATAATTTCTGGGGCTAATAAAGAATTGGAAGTATTTGAGAAAGGAATTTATTTGGGTTCTTTTAAACCTATCTTCTAACTCATTTGGCTTAGAGTGTTCACACGTTATAATACTTATAGTTGATCAAAAAATAAACCTGATTCCTAAGTGTTCTTATTAGAGCTACACACACACATACACACACACACTCTCTCTCTCTCTCTTTCTGTCTCTCTCACACACACACACACACACACACACACACACATTCTCTCTCTCTTTCTGTCACACACACACACACACACTCACTCACATACTTTCTTGCTTTTTTTGATCTAAGATCTTAGATAACTATTACAGATTAAATACTAATCCACTGGCAGACTTCAGCTGATCACTGGAATAATAGGCAAGTATAGTGAATTACATTTTCTGGTGAACCTTTTCTGCTTTATTGAAGTATGCAGAATGTAATTGAATTGTTTTTATAACTTTGGCACTTGCTATATCTTAGAGCATTCTTTTGATGATTTATTTTCTATAGTTTTGGGAGGAATAAGACATTGGATTGTGTTTCTAACTACCTTTAGAACTTTAGAAACGGATAATTTAGGAGGTTGTTCTCAGGTGATTTATTTGATGGCTTGATTATGCAAAGAAAAAATTGTGATTGTGAGATTTTTCTTATTTTCTTCACATTTAAAAGGTTTTTGAAACTTCTTTTTTTAATGGACCTTTATATGTTTAAATGCAGTCTAACTTGGAGAAGTTATATTCTTACAAACCATGTGATAAGGTTTCTTCTGGGAGTAACATTTCTAAAAAAAGGTACAGAGTTCCATATTTCTATGTTCTATACTTACTTTATGAGTACTTTTTTTCTAAAGAGAAAGGACTGTCAGATGTTGGGCTATTTCATTGGCAAAAGGAAGTTAAATTTAAAACATAAGCCTTTCAGTATTAGAATGATCAAAGTGAGCTACAAAATGATAATGTTAATTTAATAGCTAACACTTCTTGGATATTACTGTTTGTCAGGCATTATGTTAAATGCTGAGAGTTTTATATGTGATATCTCATTTAATTCCTACAAGAGCCTAACAGCTGTTATTATCTATCGCCATTTTATAGTTGAAGATACCAAGGGTTAGGAAGTTGACTAACTTGTTCAAGAGCTTACAGCTAATGGCCGAGCTGGCTTTCAAATCTATATTTGCCTACCTCTAGCATCAGGACACTATTTATTTTTTTTTGCGTGAAATATATACAGGCCTACTTTGTTTTATTGTGCCTTGCTTTATTGTGACTTGCAGGTATTGCATTTCTTATAAATTGAAGGTTTGTGGCGACCCTGCGCCGAACAGATCGTGTTAGCCCCATTTTCCAACAGCGTGTCCTGTTGTCATGTCTTTGTGTTATGTTTTGGTAGTTCTTGCAATATTTCAAACGTTTTCATTATTATCTTATCCATTATAGTGATCTATGATTGGTGATCTTTGATGTTACTATTGTAATTGTTCTGGGGTACTATTAACCATGCCCACATAAGGCAGCAAACTTAGTAAGTGTTATATGAGTTCTCACTGCTGCATTGACCGGCCATTCACCATTTCTCTTCCTCTCCTTGGGCTTCCCTGTTCCCTGAGATATAACAAGATTGAAATTAGGCCAATTAATAACTCTATAATAGTCTCTAAGTGTTTGTTTGTTTGTTTGTTTTCTCAAGACTGAGTCTCACTCTGTCGTTCAGGCTGGAGTGCAGCGGCGCAATGTCGGCTCACTGCAACCTCCACCTCCCGGGTTCAAGCGATTCTCCCGTCTCAGCTTCCTGAGTTGCTGGGGCTACAGATGCCTGCCACCATGCCTGGCTAATTTTTGCGTTTTTAGTAGAGATGGGGTTTTGCCATGTTGGCCAGACTGGTCTTGAACTCCTGACCTCAAGTGATCCCCCGCCTTGGCCTCCTGAAGTGCTGGGATTACAGGTGTGAGCTGCTGCACCTGGCCCATCTCTAAGTGTTTAAGTGAAAGGAAGATTCACATGTCTCTCACTGTAAATCAAAAGCTAAAAATGATTAAGCTTAGTGAGGAAGCCATTTTAAAAGCTGAGATAGGCCAAAAGCTAGTCCTCTTGCACCAAACAGTTTCCAAAGGCAAAAGATCCTGAAGGAAATCAAAAATGCTACCCCAGTGAACACACCAATGATAAGAAAGCAAAGCAGCCTTTTTGCTGATATGGAGACAGTTTTAGTGGTCTTTATAGGAGATCAAACCAGCCACAACATTCCCTTGAGCCAAAGACTAATCCAGAGCAAAGCCCTAACTCTCTTCAATTCTCTGAAAGCTGAGAGAGGTGAGGAAGCTGCAGAATAGAAGTTTGAGGCCAGCAGAGGTTGGTTCATGACGTTTAAGGAAAGAAGCCATCTCCATAACATAAAACTGCAAAGTGAAACAGCAAGTGCTGGTATAGAAGCTGTAGCAAGTTATCCAGAAGATCTAGCTAAGATCGTCGATGAAGGTACCTGCACTTACAGACTTTGAATGTAGACCAAATACTTTCTACCAGAAGAAGAAGCTGTCTAGTACTTTCATAGCTTGAGAGAAGTCAATGCCTGGCTTCAAAGCTTCAAAGGACAAGCTGACTCTTGCTAGAGGCTGATACAGCTGGTGACTTTAAGTTGAAGCCAATGCTCATTTAGCATTCTGAAAATCCTAAGGCCCTTAACAATTAGGCTATATCTACTCTGCCTGTGCTACATACATGTAACAACAAAGTCTTGATGATACCTCTTTAAAGCGTGGTTTACTGAATACTTTAAGCCCATTGTTGAAACCTGCTTAGACAAAAGATTCCTTTCAAAATATTACTGCTCATTGATAACACTTAGTCACCAAGAGCCGCAATGGAGACATCAAGGAGATTAATGTTGTCTTCATGCCTGCTAACTCAACATCCATTCTGTAGCTCATGGATCAAGAAGTATATTAACCTTTCAAGTATTGTTATTTAAGAAATACATTTTGTAATGCTTTAGCTTCCGTAGATAGTGATTATCAGAGAAAGGTTTTTAAGAGGTTTTCCAGAAAACCTTCTGGAAAATATTCTCTATTCTGGATGTCATGAAGTATATTTGTGATTCATAAGAGTAGGTAAAAAATATCAATATTAATAGGAATTTGGAAGAAGTCAATTCTCATTAAAATCAAGAGTTTAGTGATAGACATACTGAGTTTGGGATACCTATGGAATAGTCCAGAAATTAATTTAAATATATGGACTTAGTGTACAGAAGTGAGCAGCAGGATGCTTATATATCAATAACTATTATTTTAAAATGTATTGAAATTTTCCTTAAAATAATACCTATACTTGATTGAAAAAGTTAATTGGAAATTAATGGCTTACGACAAACATACCAGCCCACACTCTTCCCAAACTCACTTTGCTGTTGTTCATAGAGGCTGTCATCTTTAAATCTTTCAGCTGATTTCTCTGGCCTGTGCCTTTTTATTTCTGAATGATATGCTTAGAATACTATTTTTTTGACTTACCAATTTTAGAAATTTTCTACTCACTTCCTATCACAGTAGATTTCCTCTCCTTCATTCCTCCGCCAATATAATTATATTTCATCATATTAATAATTCATTTATATATTTTTAAATATAATAACAATATGATAATATTGTATTTATATTATTATAACTACGCAAATATTATATGCACACTACTAACCCAGCCATGTTATTATGACCACCTGCTACCTTTATTTTTTTCCTCGTGTTAGTGATTGTCTTTGTGTTCTTGTCTTGGTTTTTAGTGTTCCTTTTACTAATTTTCTTTTTTCCTATTTCAGTCTCTCATTGTTTGTTTACTCATTGGAGTGTTGCTTGACTTTTATCCCCTCCCACCTAGTGACATTTTAATTTTAGTTATCAAATTTTTAATTTCTAAGAATGCTTCTTGTTCTCTTCTTGTTTCTTCTTCCTCACCAGCTAAAAATCTATGATGTTATAACAAGGATCATAAATTGTATTCCAGTAGATTAAGAAATCTTGGTTAAAACCTGTTGTATCCCAGTAAGTTGAAAGATGTTAACGTGTCATATTTTCTTTCAAAAGCAGTTCGTTGAGGAAGAGAATGGAACAAATGCTCTTTTTAAAACACAGCAATTTTGTGATGAACTCAAATTGCAATTTTAACTTTACCATTATAATGAATGTATTTGATCCAAAATTTTTTAAATCTAGGCTGTTGTCTTTTAAATAACAAATTACCTTACTGGTATCATGAAGAGTAAATGTTAGTACTGATTTGGAAAGACATTCTCATTTAGGAGATGAAATAGAAAGTAAATGAGGAGAAAGAAAAGCTTTTATTATTTATTTTCTTTTAAATATTTTAGTATCATGGTGCAGGCACCAGAAAAATCTTACAGTTCCTCAGAACCTGTTATTTCGGCACAAGAGCAGGAGACTCAGGTAAGGCTTTTGTAAAAAGGTAATTAGTTTATGATAGGGTAGTTATGATTCTATGCATGCTTAAAATTCTGTATTTTGCCAGTATTTTAAAAATTGTTCTTAAGCTAAGAATCTGAGTTTATATTTCAGTTTATATTCATTCTAAGGAAAAATGTGGGATCTGAAGCTCTAAAAATAAAGGACTGGATCTTTTAAGTACATTTTTAAAAGTATTGAGTTGTTTCTTTGTTTTTTGTTCAGACTGTGTTATATGGCAAATTGGTAGAAGCTAGGCAGAAACATGCCAATAAAATGGATGTTCCCCCAGCTATTTTGGCAACAAACAAGATACTGGTGGATATGGCCAAAATGAGGTAAACTATCTTTTGCATGTGTTCTCATTTATTTCCTTCTAACAAAATTTATCCAAGTTGATAATATGACCATAGCTTCCACTGTCACATCTGGGAGGTGACTCAAATTCCCCCTGCGATGCTTATCTCTTTGCCAAGCTTTAGTACCACATTTCTATATGAATAAAAACCAGTTACATTTTCAGCAATCATATTCAATATATATAAAATCTAACTCATTATCTACCCACCCTGCATTTTATTCAAATGCCGAAATTCCTCTTTTTGGATTCTTTTTGATTATCATGACTCCTCTCTCCTTCTTCTTCTTCTTCTCCTCTCCTCCTTCCTTCTTCTCCTCCTCCTCCCCTTCTCTCTTCATCCTCCTCTCCTTCTAGCGTCCTCCTACCTTCTTCCTCTCTCCTTCTCTCTCTCCTCCTCCTTCTTCTCCTCCTCCTTTCTCCTCTCCTTCTTCTCCTCCTCCTCCCCCTCCTTCGCTCCTCCTTCTTCTCTCCTCTCTTCCTCCTCCTTCTCTCCTCCTCTCCTCCCCTCCTCTTCTCCTCCTCCTCCTCCTTCTCCTCCTCCTCCTCCTTTCTTCTCTCCTCCTCCTCCTCCTTCTCCTCCTCCCTCTCCTCCTCCTCCTTCTTTCCTTCTTCTTTTTCTCCTCCTCTCTCTTCTCCTTCTCCTCTTCCTTTTTTCTGAAGACAGGTCTCTCACTCTGTTGCCCAGGCTGGAGTATAGCGGTGCGATCACTGCTCACTGCAGCCTTGACCTCCTGGGCTCAAGCTATCCTCCCACCTCAGCCTCCCGAGTAGCTGGGACTACTAGAACCATGCCAACGCTG